TTGCGCGATGGAAACATTAAGGGTGAACAATCTAAAATAATGATCACCTAGCAAAACTAACTCCTGGATCCAAAATATTTTAAATCCACCTGCAAAAGGGTTAACAACAGCAGTAAAACAGCGGTGGTAGAGTAACTCTGCATTGCAAAACTAAAGACACGTTTTTATTCACTGGATCCTTCATTTTTCATCTGTTGTCATGTAGAGCTAAACTGCAAATAAAGCTTTTCTTACTTTGTCATCTCATCTTGTTTCCAGTAACACAACCTTCTAAACAACCTTTAATCAAGACTAGACAAGAGAAATAGCATGAAGAAATGAATTGATGCTTCAAACTTCTGCTTGAGATTATAGTATTATTTAATATCAGCAAATGTCTATTTCTTAGATGAAAACAAAACAGAATTTGGCTTACAGAGCTCTTTTGGAGGTTTTGATGACTGCTGATAGTCTGATGAGACACTCGTCTGATCTCTGGAATTTCTGAAGTTCAAACTCCTCCAGCTTTTCCTCTGAGGTCAACAACACAAAGACCAGAGCAGACCACTGGGCAGGTGAAAGGCGAGCAGATGACAGACTTCCTCTACTGAGGTGAGACTGAATCTCTTTCAGCAGAGTTTGATCATTCAGTTCATTCAGACAGTAGAACAGATTGATGGATCTCTCTGGAGACAGATTCCCTTCAAGTTTCTGCTTGATGTAGGCAATTATTTCCTCTTTGTTCTGGTCTCTGTCATCCTGCTGTGTCAACAGGCCTCGTAAGAGTTGGCGATTGGACTGGAGTGGCAGACCGAGTAGGAAGCGAAGGTAAAGGTCCAGATGTCCATTCTCACTTTCCAGAGCCTTGTCCACTGCGGCCTTCAGGAAATCAATCATGGACTCATCTCTACTTTTTTCTGCTTGTGTCTTGTCGCTGTCTAGAATCAGATGTTGATAAAGGGCTGCAATGAACTCCTGAATGCTCAAGTGAAGAAAGCAGTACATGGTACCAAGAATGAATCCCGTCTCCTCCTTAAAGATCTGGGTACACATGCCTGAGTACACCGATGCCTTATAGACGTCAATGCCACAGTCTTTCAGATCGCTCTCATAGAAGATCACATTGTTTCTTTCCAGCTGCTGGAAGGCCAGTTTCCCCAGTGAAAGGATGAGCTTTGGATCCCAGGAGACATCTGGTGTTTTTTCTCCATCATACTTTCTTCTGCTCTGCTGGATCTGAAAGCGGAGAAAGTGTGTGTACATCTGTGTCAGAGTCTTGGGAGATTCCTGCAGTGTTTCAGCATGAGCCCTGTGTTTCAGTTTCAGTATGTTCTGGAGAACAGTGGCTGAAATCCAGCAGAAGACTGGGATGTGGCACATAATAAAGAGACTCTTTGACTGTTTAATGTGATCAATGATTTCTCTGGCCTGATTCTGATCTGTGAGTCTCTTTCTGAAGTACTCCTCCTTTTGGGCATCATTGAATCCTCGTATCTCTGTCAACCGGTCGATACAGTCAGCAGGAATCTTACTGGCAGCTGCTGGTCTGCTGGTGATCCAGATGAGAGCAGAAGGAAGCAGATTTCCCTTGATGAGATTCGTCAGGAGAACATCCAGAGAGACTGCTGAAGATACATCACAACACGTCTCATTACCAGCAAAGTTCAGAGGAAGACGACATTCATCCAATCCATCGAGGATGAACAGGACTTTGAATCGTGTGCATCTTGTAAGGTTCAGTCCTTTAGTCTCTGGGAAAAACTGAGTTATGAGGTCTTTTAAACTTTGTCTTTCTTTCTCCTTTAAGTTCATCTCTCTGAATGGAAGAGGAAATATGAAGCTTATGTCTTGGTTTTCTTTCCCTTCAGCCCAATCCAGAACAAACTTTTGCACAGAGACTGATTTCCCGATGCCAGCAACTCCTTTTGTCAGGACAGTTCTGATCTGCTCGTCTTGTTCAGCTGCTTCAAACAAATGTTTGCATTCAACCTGTATCTCTAGTGACTGATGACGTCTGGAAGCAGCTTCAATCTGTCTGATCTCATGTTCAGTGTTGACCTGTTCACTCGCACCCTGAGTGATATAGAGATCTGTGTAGATGTTATTCAGAAGTGTGGAGTCTCCTTGCTGAGCAATTCCTTCAAACACACTTTGACATTTCTTCTTCAGGCTACATTTAAGCGGATTAATGAAGAACAGCTCATCTAAACACAGGAGCAAAGAAACAGATTTACATTTTTAGACTTATCTTTTACAGCTGTATTAGTAAGTGTCAGTCTGACAGATACCCATGAGTCTCTTACCCTGGAGAGTATCAGCAGCTTGATCTTGGTTCATCTCTCTCAGGAAGAAGAGTGTGAGATCAAGAGCTGCTTCTGTGATTCTGCTACTGTTCTCACTGAAGTCCTTTACAAACTCTTGTCTGTTTTCTTCTTGTAAGATTTTCTTAAATATCTCCAGTTCATTTTTCAGAAATCTGAACATTTTTTTCTCAAGATTCTATGATTGAAGAAACAAAAAGAACAACAATCTTTAACCAAAAACCTTATTTAACCAAAATTACACCGTTATATATCCACAACCTACTCAATAATTGAAAATACATTATAATGGATTATACTATGAGTCTGTTGAATGCTTGATTCTGATTAGCTTATTTTTTAGATAAACAGACAGCTAAAGTAGACCCAGGCAGTGGACTGTCAGTTAAAACCTAATAGACATCTAAGATTAGCTCAAATCTAGACCAGTCATCAAATACATATGAAAGAATTCATGTGTGAAAGGTTTTGCTAACTTAGTGTCTTTGTTGCCTTGTTTTTAGACTTTCCCGTTAACATTTTTTCAAAAAAAAGAGACTAGTGACACATTTTGATACTTTTTTTGGAGTTACTGGAGATTTTGGAGACTCCAACATGTTCGTACTGTACCCTTCCTGCCCTTTTGAATGAGCAGGGCATGATCCTGATTACTCCTCCATGTACCAGCTGCAAATGATTTAGCAACGTTATTCCAAAACAACAACTTCTGGACCAAAGTCCCGTGAGTCTAAGGTACATCCCTGATACAGACAGATCAGATGCTTCTCCTATGTTTCAAATGTTATCAGTTCAATTTTTGGCAGCAGTTATTGAACTTGTATGTTTATTATGTCAGAGAGATTACTGTAAATCAGTGGTTCTCAAACTTTTTTCACCAAGTACCACCTTAGAAAAAAATTGTCTCTCCAAGTACCACCTTACGACGCTATTTTTTAACCAGTATTAAAAAATAGCGTCGTAGGCCTAATTAAGCAGCTACAGGTGTGCACAGTTTAAAAATGATGCAAATTAATTCCTATTATTAAGAATATGTATTATTGTCAATCACTTTAAACATTTTTAATAGTCTGAACATTAACTGTGGTTGCAGATAAAAAAAAAAGTTTTAGTTAAAATGTGCTTTTAAAAGTTCATTAAAAATTACCTGTTCTTAAAAAGAAAACTGCTGTACTTAAATCTCAAGTATTCATAGTAGCCTATTCATCAAAAGCTGGAGATGTTGCTTGGACCTTATGAATATAGGCTATATGTCATATTCCTACACTTTCAGACAAATCTTGAAATATATGTTAAATGTACATATGACAGGGTTCATACAGGCACAGCCTAAGGAAAATCAAGGAATTTTAAGCACTTTTTCCAGCACCTAATTTTTTTTTCAAGACTGACATGTATTGAAGACCTGAAATGTATTCTCAGCAACCCATAAAACATTGCATACGAATAGATACAAATAAAAACCATTAATAATAATATGTATTAATCATATATTATTAATATAATAAACCTGCACTAAATGCTTGTGATATCTTTTTTGTACTCAAGTAAAATTACTATTACACTGCTAAAATAACACAAATTTTAGTAAATAATACTAATATTAGGTAAAAGTACTCTTTTAAAAAGTACTAGTTGGTTACTTTTGAAAAAAAAAAATCAGATTTTCATTATGAAATCACTTTTTTTAAGTTTAAACCTGATTGAATGGTTTAATTGCTTAAATTCCAAAGCTACATGTATAGGAATTTGCACTAACAAAGGAAGTATGGTCAATTTTTCCTTTCATGACAATTAATATTTTTCAAAAGCACTGGTAAAACTACCACATAATCTTAAAGGCCATAGAGACACTTTTTGCCCATTTTTTAAACGATATTTTCAAGCTTTGAAAGGTTAAATTAAAGTATATGGTAAAAAGATTTAAATTTAGCCTTTTATTTACATTTGTTACACTATTTTTCTTTACAATATGGCAAATTTGTTTCTTAAATAGCTGTACATCACATGTAGATTTTATTTTACACTTGATCTTAATCTAAAATAAAAAAATACAAGTACACTGTCAGTAAAAAAATAAAACAAATGGCTTCCTTTTACTTGAGGTATTTAAAATGTGACAACAATACATTTATCAAAGCAGTGCTTTAAGAGTCTTATTGTTAATTTTGATAAATAAACAAGTAACAACGGATTGCTTTGACCTGTAATGCTTTAAGACAGATCAGAATACAGCTAAATGTATAAATCACACAAATACCTCCTCCAGAAACATTTCCAGCATAATTCTTTTGTCGTAAAGAAACAAAAAAAAAATTCCACCTTTGCTAAAAGTAAGTTTCACTTTACAACACAGCCAAACAAGAAGACCATTAGCATTGTCATCGATCATGCATCAATCTAATTCTAAATACTTGATAACTTTGAATACTTTTGACTAAATTTAGTCAAGGAGCAAAGATAAATAATGTCTACTTTAATAGTGGAGAGATCGCGATTGTATTTAATCTGAGCACACAGGCGACCATGAGAGGACTTGCAGTTCATTTGAAAAAAGCATATTTAAGAGCTCGCATATCCGTTTTAGCGATTTGCGTACATGACTGCGCTGTCGTGTTAAAATAAAGCACTCGCCACATTTGCAGAAATTAGTAATTGCGCAATACCTCCATTCCCGCGCCGCCATTCAGAATGTATTCGGAGGAGTGACAGGTCAGAGGCTAGTCGACTGGCTGTCGGAGAGCGAAACGTGTAAGAAGATCATCAAATAGGCAGGAAATATGTCCGCAGTTTAATTACTCTGCTAGACATATCTATAGTGAAAACATCCGAGAAGCATTATTCCAACAAAACATTTGTTTTTAAGTTGTTTTTTCTGTCTCTGCTACACAGAAAGTATTTGTCCCGCCCTTACGTTTCACGCAACTAGACAAGGTCGACTGTGATTGGCTACTTTTCATGTCAGTCAAATCACGCTTCAGAATCAATTCTTAAACTTCGGAAACTGATTTTCAGCAGCTTATAACACACTGCACTAAAATAAACATTCTAAGCACAGCGTTGTGATCGGACGCTTCACAAAACAGCCACTGCTGATCACATCGATGTTATAATACGCATTAAAGGATTAAAAGTGTTAATTGTTTCTTTCATTATTCAGCGGTTCCTCCGCGTACCACTTGGAGGAAGCCCGCGTACCATTAGTGGTACGCGTACCACAGTTTGAGAACCACTGCTGTAAATAAACTGCACTGTATCTACGCTGATTTACTGTAAACAAATGACAATACATTTAATTAAACTGACATATATAGTGAGCTCTTCTGCAGATGTCACTGGAACACAATCACAACATAGGTTTGGGAGGAGCCTAATTATTCTGGCTAATCAATCCTTATCACATGGTGTCAGCAGAGTTAGTTTTGGGCTATTCAATTTTCACTGACAGCCAAAATTGTGCTTCGTTTAAGCCAAGCCATGTTTGTTTAGACATCTATTAAATGAAAAAATTGCACGGAGTGATCTATGGAATAATTGACTCTGGTCTGATGAATTATTAGAGAGTAATGCACACCAGAGTTGTAATGTCACATTTCCATAATAGGAGCTAAAATACTCTTTTTTGATCATGTTGATAGGACAAACACAGATTTGAACTGTAAAGGGTTTGTTTTTATTTATGCAAATTCATAATTACAACAAAACAATATGTTCTTGTAAAAAAGTAAAACAGAAAGGGAGTGCTGTCTCTTTCTGTGTCAACCTGACTGGCAAATGCATCAGAGAAAACAGCTGCATGTCCGAGAATATCTGCCTCACAGACATGAGAGAAATACCAAAATAAAGTCTACTAATGGAGGTCGAGCCTTCTCATTTATAGCTTCTAAACTCTGAAATAGCCTTCTTGATAATATCCTGATTACAGCCCGAACTGATTTAAATGGGCGCACATTCTCAGCTTTTGTCAAGAATGAGTCATTTATATACATTTTAACGTAATTTATTCAAGACTAACACTGGATTTAAGCCAATCACATTTATTTACTTTATTTAATAAAATACATCCTATGTAACATCAGCACTCTATAAATATTGTTGAAAACCTCTCAACTCTTCAGAGTGCCATAAGTGCACCACAAGTCATGTGACAAGATCCAACCAATCAGCTTCAGACTTTGTATGGAGTATACACATTTCAGTAATAACGATAGACTAATTACCTCAGACAAACACAAAGCAACCAAATAGTATAGTGCATTGCACCTTGTGTTTTCTAGCCATTTATCGTGCCCTTCTATCTAAACGAATAAGGAATTATGGATTTAATCATCTGGTCTCTGAACACAATTGACACCATCTTCTCGACTAAAAGTTTGAGCTCGGGAGAGCCCACTTGTCCAGCAGGGACGTTTGCAGCTGGGTACGTGATGGATGGGTGGGAGAAGTGGCGCGTCATGTGCCTGGCTGCTCTGTCCCTGAAGGATATTGAAGATATCTACCTATCCAGAACTTTGATAACAGGGTTTCTGCTGATGGGCTTAGGCGGGGCCCTGGGGTATCGACGATTGATGAAAGCGGTCAGTGCTGAGCAAAACCCCACCAAGCTGGCCAGCTTGATTGAAATGGTGGTGAGCAGGGTCGCTGATAACCAGACTGTAGTCTTAGACCGCAAATTGGAAAACATTGGGGTGAACGAGCGTCTTTGCAACAAGATTTGGCCGGACATGGAGACCAGTGCTGGACATTAAATATCTGTGAAATTGGCAGATATTGACCCAAATTTAAAAAAACTTTTCTTCTCTTTCATCTTCTCTGTGTTTTTTTCTGCCAGACGGCCTCGGCTGAAGACAAACAACTTCTTCCAGATAGCAAGATAATGGAGATGCTCTGAACTCCTGCTCCCTGTCAAGGACACCTGTTGGAATCTACAGGCTTACACACTCACATATACACAGCTATAGATAGACTATCACTACCTGGCCCCGCACCCCACACCTTCGTGTGCTTTCACCCACTGGAGTGGGTAGGCGGGTCTGTGACCAGCTCCTTCTGGCTGAAGGACCAGATGGCTGCCCACCCTCACCGGACTACATCCACAACCTCTGTTCCCATCCCCTGTTGCAATGTATGTCTATGTCTATGTGTTTATGTGCTTGATTGCTGGGGCGTTTTTCTCTCCCTGATCTCACACTGTCCTAATTCAAGAGCAATGTAAGAGGGAGTTTTTTTTGCCTCTCTCCCCATGTATCTATTTTCTCTTTCTAAACACGACCTCTCTAATGCTGCGTTCACACCAGACGCGGAACATGCGTCAAGCACGAGTGATTTACATGTTAAGTCAATGCAAACGCGCGAATAGACATCCTGCGGCGCGATATGCGCGGAGCGAATGACGCTAATTGCGCGAATGGCGCAGTGCGAATAGCGCGATACGCGCGAGGCGAATTGAGCGTTTGCGCGTTTGACGCGTTTAAAGAGGGTTTTGCATTAACCAATCAGAAGCTTGCTCTTGTGGGGGCATGATTGTGACGTAGAACCTGTTGATGGTGTCCCGGGGGAAATCCTCCAGGCGACACCGACAACAAGTCATCAAACTGGGCTTGGCTCAGTCAGAAGCACCACTGAAAGCCTCCGTCATCCAGGTTCAGTTTCTGGAGGAGTTTATGAGCTCACAGAGCTCACCTCTGAAAGCATGTAGTGGACTCAGACACGGTCCTAAACGTATCGACGCTGTTTTTCAGCCTTCATAAAGTACATAAACACTGTTTTTACTTTAAAAATCCATGTTAGCCATTTAGCAACGAAGCTACAGTCACCGGGCAGACAGAAGCCCTGCCCATCACGCGAATCTGCGTCTGTTCTGAAGTGAATTTGACACGCGAATGAAGCGGATTTCACGCCCGAATGAAGCGGGGTTTGACGCGCGAATGAAGTGAGTAACTTTAAATGTTCACGCGGCAATTTACGAACGAATAGCGCGATTTATCTGCGCATTCCACGTCTGGTGTGAACACAGCATTAGACCTGTCTTCTTCTGAAACTAAATGAAAGCTTGATTGATTTTAAAGTACCGTACACTGTGTTTCTGAAGCCACCGAGGGGGCGGTGCCACAAGGGGTTAGGCCCCTAAATGCTGCTTGCAGCTTTAATTTATTATTGTGGTTAAAGCTTTCATCATTACTTCAGTATCTCAGAATCATTCAGAAAATATTCTAATATGCTGGATTAATGCCCAAAAAAAACACTTATTGCAAACATGTGATAAACCTAGTATTTAAACAAACATATTTTTATCTATGAAGGAAACATTGAATTGATGTTAATTTAATGCTATAATAATCAAAATAAGGCCGTTGTCAGACTAGAATCAGACTAGAATTAGCCATTCAGAGTAATACTGGTTGAAATGTGAAATATGTAGACTACTTTCACTCAAAAATCACCCAAATAATTTGGTTGGGCTCTTTTTGTGCCAGTAGAATTTTTGTTTGTGCAATTTCGGTTTTTAAAATCTTACACACTGAATTATGAGTGATCAGAGACGACGTCATTCATGGCAGAGCCATTTAGCATGTGTCTGCTCGAATATCAAATATTGTCAAACAACACAAATGTAGCAGATACAAGCAAAAGAGTTTGAGCTGAATTTGGAGCAGTTGAGGTAGTGGAGAGACCTCAGGATGACTTTAAAATACTATTTTAATATCTGTTAATCCAAGGCAGCACAAACTATTTTTTTGCAGCACAGTCGATGAGGAAGATTTAGCAGAAGTTTTAGTTGAGTGGGGGCCATCTTCATGCAGATTACAAAATCTCAGAAGTCTTGTAAACAAATATTCTGTGTGTTTCATGGAGTTATTTCAGTGACTTATATGAATCAAACTGAGTTTTTCCCACCTGAAAGATCCTCTGGAGATTGTCTGTGAAACTCTCGCGTCTTCTGTGAGTCTCGTCTCCTGAATCTGGTAACTCATATTTAAATCTGTTAACAAAAATACATTTAGAGGCAAAATACAGATATATTTTAAAAACACTGAAAATAACAAATGTTCTGTAGTGCAACAGCTGTGTCTTGTATTTAATGTAGCTGAGAAATCACACACAAAAGGCCTTATTGTGTTCAGCATCTGAAGGACTTCAGAAAGTAGCTTTAGAAAGAAATATTTGATTTGCAATTTATAATTACACAAAAGTTTAGCTTAAACTATAAATATCTTTTATATACCACAAGATGCACTGTCAGAAATTATAAATATTTTAAAATAGGCACTATCCTTATAAATAAACTGCATTGTTGCAATCTAAACAACTACATTCTCCACTAAAAAACAGCAGGAATACTTGTCTAACTGTAGATGGTCCTCTGCTTGTTAGTGTATGTAGGCGGAGTAATACAGAAGGGTGAAGCTGGACCAGTGCTGTTATTACAGAATTTCACACGGCTATCAGCCAATCAGGTTCAAGAACCAGGCAGAACTGTTGTATATATATATTATAATTTACTGAAAGATTCTCTGCATAAGAACCTAAATCTGCCCATAGGAGTCTGTAAATGAGTTGCCAAAGTCATTGATTCATTTGATTTACTCAAACAACTGATTCATTCAGGAATGACTCTCTTTACTGAATTGTTGGTTCACATAAAATATAAAAAAAATGGTTCATGTGTGAGCAATAATGTGAAACACAAAATACCTTTTGGCAGGTGTTGG